CCCGAGTGTCTTCACAAGGCCACTGGCTGCCCACTCCCGGGACTGACTCACACCATGGCAGCTATAGCCTTTCCCCCCTTCCCCCACCCTTCAGCCAGCGATTCAGGAGAGAGAGAGAGAGAGAGAGAGAGAGAGAGAGAGAGAGAGAGAGAGAGAGAGAGAGAGAGAACGAACACGCACACCCAAGCCAGAAGGCCAAGATTGGGGAAGTCAGACCTCACTTCGGCTGCATTCCTTCAATAGAAGTGAGTCGCTAAGTCCAGCCCACACTCAAGGGGAGAATTAAGCTTCATCTTTTAAAGAAAGTAGAAAAAAAAATGTAAACAGATCTTTAAAACCACCACAGGGACTAAAAGAATTGCTGAGGGGGAAAAGTAGCTGGATAAATTATTAATCAAGACATCAATGGATGTTTTATTCTCACTGTATTCCCCAATCTCCGAAAAGATAGCCCTTGCCTCGGGGGAGGTTTGTGTTTGTTTTCTGAAAATGGTAACTTCTTGAGGAGGTTAGGCTCCAGAAAGAATGGAAAGATAGTGCCGTTGAGGGCAGAAAAACTGGGGTGCTTTCTCTGGGAAGGAAGAGTCTTTGGGACCCGCAGAAAGAGGGGGTCTGTAACTCCACTTCCCAGCACAATAGCAAGTCCTTGGAGGGAAATGGGCTTGTGTTGTACCTAGGAAGGTACAGTATGGAGTTTCCTCAAAAAATAAAAAATGGCCCTAGCCAGTTTGGCTCAGTGATAGTGTCAGCCTGCGGATTGAAGGGTCCCGGGTTCGATTCCGGTCAAGGTCACATGCCTGGGTTGTGGGTTTAATCCCCAGTATGGGGCGTGCCAGAAGCAGCCAATCCATGATTATCTCTCATCATGGATGTTTCTATCTCTCCCTCTTCCTTCCTCTCTCTGAAATTAAAAAAATATGTATGTGTGTTTTTAATTAAAAATGAAACTTCCATTTGACCCAGGGATCCCACTTCTGGGAATATATCCTGAAAACACTAATCAGAAAGAATATATGTACCCCTATGTTCATAACAGTGTTATTTACAAAAAGCTAAGATTTGGAAACAGCCCAAGTGCCCATCAATAGATGAATGGATAAAAAGGTTGTGGAATATTATGCCGCTATAAAAAAAAAAAAAAAAAAAAGGATCTCTTATCCTTTGGGACAGCATGATGGACCTGGAAAATATTATGCTAAGTGAAATAATTCAAACTGAGAGATAGAAATATCGCATGATTTCATTTATTTGTGGAATCTAATGAACAAAATTAATTGACCAACAAAATAAAACCCGAAACGGGAGGCACGGGACAGGCTGACATACTTTGATGTGGGGCTGGGGAGACAAGAAGAGATAAACCAAAGAACTTGTGTACTTATATACATAGCCCACAGACACGGGCAATAGGGGGGTGAAGACTTGGAGGGGTGGGTAAGGGCTGCGGTAGGGGGAAAGGGGAGGAAATGGGAGATATCTGTAATGCTGTCAACAACAAAAAATATATTTTTAAAAATCAGTAACAGTAGAATATGAGATGCTTGCTTATCTCAAATTATTTTAGTTTTTTTAAAAATATATTTTATTGCCGGGACCGGTTTGGCTCAGTGGATAGAGCGTCGACCTGCGGACTGAAAGGTCCCGGGTTCGATTCTGGTCAAGGGCATGTACCTTGGTTGGGGGCACATCCCCAGTGGCGGGTGTGCAAGAGGCGGCTGGTCGATGTTTCTCTCTCATCGACGTTTCTAACTCTCTTTCCCTCTCAATTTCTCTCTGTGTAAAATCAATAAAATATATTTTAATAAATAAATAAATAAATAAATAAATAAATAAAAAATAAAAATATATTTTATTGATTTTTTTACAGAGAGGAAGAGAGAGGGATAGAGAGAAACATCGATGAGACAGAATCATCGATCAGCTGTCTCATGCATACCCCCTACTGGGGATGTGCCCGCAATCAAGGTACATGCCCTTGACCGGAATCAAACCTGGGACCTTTCAGTCCGCAGGCCGAAGCTCTATCCACTGAGCCAAACCGGTTTCAGCTCTAGTTTTGTTTTTTGTTTTTGTTTTTTTTAATGGTATTATAGTTTGACCTGAACTAGGAAGGTTCTCAAAAGATAACTCAGCCCTAACTTATGTCTACCATTCTAAAATAAAAATCACACTTTTGGCACTTGTTTTTCAAAATGTAACAGGATACATATTTTAATAATCAACAACTCAACACAACAGGCCAACTCAAAGGGATATTTACAGCTACATTTGGCAATTAATTCATGTGATGTGCTCACCAGGAATTTATATAATTTGATATTGAGAATTTTTAAGGCCACAGCATGCAATTGATAGTAACAACTGTAAAAAAAATTCTGGCTACAGTCATTACATCCTTTCTCTATAATTAATCTTTTTGTTCTTCAATGTATTTTTATTGATTTCAGAGAAGAATGGAGAGATACATTAATGATGAGAGAGGATCATTGATCAGCTGCCTCCTGCATGCCCCACACTGGGGATCAAGCCTGCAGTCTGGACATGTGCCCTGATTAGGTATCAAACCAGTGACCTCTTGGTCCATGGGTCAACACTCAACTACTGAGCTACACCGGTTGGGCTATCATTAGGTATTTTCTATATGCCAGGCACTATACTAAGCATTTTACAACTCTGTAAGTGTTTGAACTATTATTATTTCTATTATACAGATAAGGGCTCAGAAAGGTTTAACTTGCATATGATTTCACAACTTGCATTCAAATTCAACCCAAACTATTATATCTAAGTGTATGTAAAGGGTATCAGGGGAGCAACAAGATAGAGCAGAGGAAGGAAAAGGTGAGGGTGGAGAAAGTCTGCATGGAGGATGAGACATCTGAGCTATGACTTAAAGGAGGGAGTCTGCCAAGAAACAGGGAGGAAGTATTATAGAAAAAAAAAAGAAAAAGTGTAAAAAAACGCAGAGCAAAGAGGGAACATAAGTTCCAGGAATGGCAAACAGAACATAGAGTTACATTCAGCAATTAATTCATCATCAAAGTTTCACCAGAAAGTTGTCATTTTTAAAAGAAATATATTTTATTGATTTTTTACAGAGAGGAAGAAAGAGGGATAGAGAGCTAGAAACATCAATGAGAGAGAATCATTGATCAGCTGCCTCTTGCATACCTCCCACTGGGGATGTGCCTGCAACCAAGATACATGCCCTTGACCGGAATCAAACCTGGGACCCTTCAGTCTGCAGGCTGACGCTCTATCCACCTAGGGCTACATTCATTTTTTGTGTACTAAACTGAAATCTGCACGTACTTTATACTTAAAGCACACCTCATTTTGGACATAAAGTTTTCACTGGAAATACTTAATCTGCATTTAAATTTCACAAAATTTACGGATGGAAATGTAGATTCACAAACCCAAGTTACTCCAAACATACCGAAACATTTTCCAATAATGAGTCAAATTTAAATTAATTATCATTAACAGCATTAAAATTTCAGTTCCTGTCGAAACTGGTTTGGCTCAGTGGATAGAGTGTCGGTCTGTGGACTGAAAGGTCTCAGGTTCGATTCCAGTCAAGGGCATGTACATTGGTTGCAGGCACATCCCCAGTAGGGGGTGTACAGGAGGCGGCTGGTCGATGTTTCTCTCTCATAGATGTTTCTAGCTCTCTATCCCTATCCCTTCCTCTCTGTGGAAAATCAATAAAAATATTAAAAAATAAATAAATTTCAGTTCCTCAGTCATGCTAGCCACATTGCAAGTGCTCAACAGCCGTATAGGCCTACCATACTGAACACTATAGGCCTCACGAGTGACAAAGGAACCATGGCTGTTCCACAGTCCGCATTTCACACCTGCCTGCTGCTGAAGTTTTCTGTGTACTAACACCAATAACTTACCAAGTATCCGCTCTGACAGCAGTCCTGCTGGCCACATCCTACTACTACAGCATACTTTCTCTAAGGCAGTGCCTATACTTGTGAAAAAGGGATCTTCTGCCCTCCCTGGTCTTGCTCAGTGGATAGAGCCTTGGCCTGGGGACTGAAGGGTTCCAGGTTCGATTCCAGTCAAGGGCACATGCCCGGTTTGCGGGCTCAATTCCCAGTAGGGGGTGCAGGAGACAGTCGATCAATGATTCTCTCTCATCATCGATGTTTCTCTCTCCCTCTCCCTTCCTCTCTGAAATCAATAAAAATAAATTTTTTTAAAAAACCATCTTATATATAAAAAAAAGAAATAAAAAGGAATCTTCTAATGACTATACAGAAATGCTCTATAGAATCAAACATGCTGCATGCACTAAGGAATAGACAGATGCTCTTCTTCATCACTCAAGGAATAACTCACTTCTCTGCAGACTACACAAGCCCTTTTTTTCTATTTTCCTAGGACTCAACTATGTGTTATTAGACTCTGTGTACAATGAAAAAAAAGAAAGAAAAAGCAATTGGGAGACCTATTTTCAAGGTGATGTTTATTAGAGACATGATAGCATAACGGTTAAGGGCATAAGTTCTGGAGTCAGACTGCCTAGATTCAAATCCTGGTTCTGTCACTTAGGAGATGTGTGATCCTGGGTAAACACTTGGCCTCTCTGTACCTCAGTTCCCTCTTCTGCAAAACAGTGAAAACGCTATGTACTTCCTTGGGGAGCTTTACGGGTTACAGAAAACAACACATACAGAGCACACAGCATCTGGCAATAAACACTGGCTTTGAAACAGAGCTGGTGGAAAAGTTTAAATTATGGCTAACGTAAAAAAAAAATAAAAAACACCTAGGATTTCTGAATTATCCATGTCTCTTTCTCATATAATCTTAGACTACTCCCCCCCCCCCCCAAAAAAAAAAAGTCTTGCAGACAGTTATATTCGTTAACAAACGACCTAATCAAGACTTCACCTGCTGACAGTGTAGCGTTATGCAGTCTGGCACAGGTGCAGTCAAGCGAATGTAAAAACACGACACGAAACGGGCAGGCATTTGTACCTTACCTGCTTCTCCGTTTCCGAGGTGGCTTCTCCACTGTGCCAGTCAGTCTGCAGAGCAAACAGACGGGATGACAACTCCAAGTCACACACAAGAACAGGTCGCGGGGCCCTGCTCTGCCAATCAACAGCTCCGTGTCCCCCCCTCCGGGACCGCGGGCTGGCTCAGCCCCTGCCTGACCTTCCACATGCCCACGCTGCCTCCCCTCCAGAACCAGACCGGGCGGCGCTGGGGCCCGCCGTCCCCCCAACGTCCGCTCAGCCCAGACCCCGCTCTGCCTCCGGGTCTCCCCCTCCGTCCATCCTCAGCTCCCATTTGTCACAGCCCAGCTCCCCCAAACCACCCAGCACCACCACCTACCTACTCATTGTCTGCCTCGTCACCCCAGGAAGCCCCTCCGGCTCCCCTCGCCAGCCCGCACCCCCTCCCTCCCTCCGGGCCCCGCCCCTCCGGGCCCCGCGCCCCCCGCATTCCTGGCCCCTCCGCGGGGCGTGCCCCCCGCCTCACCCTCGGCGCCCCCTCCGCCCATGCCCCTCCCGCCTCGAGGATGCGATCGCCGCCCAGTCAGCTCCTCCTCCCCCCTGACCCCCGCCAGCAACCCCCAGGCAGCCTCCGAATCCCCCCGAAGCCCTCCAAACGAGACCCCCCGCCCTGCCAGTTTCTGCGCCCCGAATGCTTCACGGCCCCAGGCTGCTGCCCCTGGGCCCGCTCCCGCCCCCATCGCCGACCTCCACTGCCACCCAGTTCCCGCCCCACCTGGCGGCCAGGCGACTCCGCGGCTGCTGAGGCTGCCGGGCTCCTCTGACCATCCGGCTCCGGCTCCGCCGCGGGAGCAGCTGCGGCGGCCGCAGGGCTCGCTGGGGAAGCTGAGGCGGCGGAGGATGGAGTAGGCGGAGAGGCGGGAGGAGGGCCTCGCGCCTCGGCCAGGCTGCCGCGGGGCCCGCCTCCTCTGCGCCTCTCCTCGGCTCCCATTGGCTAGAGCCGCAGCATGCCCGAAATGCTGGTAATCGATTGGGCGCTCGGGCCGTCACATCCCGCCACCTAGAGTTTGGTTGAGACTGCAGGTGGCGGCGGAGGTGCCTTAGAGACCACTGGCAGGGCAGGGGAGACTGAGCGCCACCGCGCGTTGGAAAGCGGATACTGCACCTTCGGCCTCAGACACCTGCAGGCGGGTTCTGCTCACTGTGTCCTGCAACCCACACACCTGCTGGCGCCCCCAACACTACACCATGCCAGGACTCAAAGCCAAGCACTGCACTCTCCCAAACTCCTCTGGCAGATGAGACAGGGAGGCAACTCTCCAAAACCAGATTCATTTTTAACTACCCTGTCTGCGGTCCCGGTGTCTGCATCAGCGATTTTCAACCGGTGTGTCACAAGAATTTTTAAAACATTCAATACCTAACTAGTCAGGGGCACTGTCCTCTTTTCCCTTAGATTGTCAAATTTTAAAAAATGATAACAGCCAACAATAGTTATCTAATGTGGATGAACCAAAATTATACCTAATTTTTATCATATCGACAAAAATATACACTTTTTGGTGTGCCGCACAATTTTAGTGTACCATGAGGTGAAAAAGGTTGAAAAATTACTGCTCTATATCATGCTGAATGAAATATTCTCACAGCTCCCAGATACCCTTCATAGAGGGTCCAGCTAGAAAACGTAAGCTACCATATAAATCATGGTTTAGATGCTCAATCCTCAGCAGAAAAAGGTCACAAGCTTGAGAGTGGACTTCCAAGAGAGCAAGAGTTGTGTGCATTCTTTTTAATGGCCACAAAAGAGCAATGCTGCAAACAATTGATGCCATAACTGAAAACAATGTCTTCCATTTTGAAAGGCCTAAATAGATCCCCGAGTGTATGCTAACCATCCTGTGATACCAGATGATTTTAAGTTCTACACGCTAATCAAAATAAATTTCACTGCATTTTTTGCTATTGACTAGCACATAAACACAATGTTACCTTTAAGAAGGCCATCCTTGAAAATAAGACATAGCTCATTTAACATATAAAATTCTGTGAAGGTGCTATGCCCGTCAGCCTCTCTAGATTCATTGTGTACAGTTTACTTGGTAGATCCTTGTGGCATCTACGAATTGAAGCTGGGAGAAGGCAAAAAACTTTCTCTTCGACTACTTCCATTTTATTAGAACACATATTTATGCACCGATGAGATAGCCTAGATTAGTACACAGGTTGAAAACAAGTCTCTCACTGATCTTCACAAATGGCAAAAAAGGGTACTACCGTTTTTCACAAAACCAAATTTATGGCTGCATTTATGCAGAAATGGCTCTTTTTACATCTGATATTAAAAAATTACTTCCTTCTATGAAATAATGGTAGAAAATTGCATCATGTCCAAGTTTTAGTAATTTCTGCTTTTGTGCTTATACTGTGTAAGAAATGCACATCTCATGCCAGTTCACATTTCATACTTCCTCTTTTAAGCCTTTACTAATTACTGCAAATATTTCCTTCTCTAAATTTGTTGCACTAACATAAGATTTACTACATCAGCAATTATATATTGCCTTGGGTTATTCTTACTTAGCAACAACATTGATTTGGGGCAAATGCTGTATTAGTATATACTCAATAAATAGTAGCTTTGGGCCAAGGACTGGGAGCTTTATGCCTGTATGATATTCTCTTGTTTTAGACACAGAATTTCACGATTCAGAAAATCCAACTTGCTCAGGGTCACATAGCTAGAACCAATCTACTCAAAAGTGCTGTAAGGGGACTTACGGTATACTCTGGTGTGCCCTACAGGGGTTACCCAACCTCCTTACCCTGTTTCCTCATTCAAAGGAGGGAGGGAAAAAAGAAGAGTAATATAGTCATGCAGCCATATTCAGGGCACCACAACAGAGTACCACAGCATTTAGTTAAGTGTGCTCAATATAGGTCAGCTACCTGGCATGGCTGCTGTTTTTGTCTAAATTTCATCACAAAGACGATATTCTTTCCACTATTCCATAATGCCTCCAAGCAGTCTTTTCTACCCTATTCCCATTTACACATAAAAGCAGATTGCTTACAACAGGGGGTGCCAAGGGATTAAGTGGAATATACTTATGCAGTATTTTTGTTGACACACAAAAAATCTTCATAAATTTCATGCATTTTTGAGTCAAGAAAATATTTAAATGACCCAAGACAGCATAAACATGCTCTCATGAGGGTAAGACACATATTCATCAACTGACTGACAAGGAAAGAGAAAACTAGTAAGAGGGGACTAAGGAACCAACCTTTGCCAGGCATCAACTATGTTTGCATATTAGGGGACTTTTCAAATGCTTCTTTTTGGTGTTTTATTACTGTGTATTTCTCAGCATGACCGCACACTGTAAATATACAATTGAAAGTTGTGACAATCTCATGAAGCATGGTTCTGGCCACCAGACCCAGGGTCTAACAATGAATAATGTCTTTAAAGAATGGAGCCCTTGCCGAAACCGGTTTGACTCAGTGGATAGAGCATCGGCCTGCAGACTGAAGGGTCCCAGGTTCGGTTCTGGTGAAGGGCATGTACCTTGGTTGCGGGCACATCCTCAATGGGGGGTGTGTGGGAGGCAGCTGGTTGATGTTTCTCTCTCATCGATGTTTCTACTTTCTATCCCTCTCCCTTCCTCTCTGTAAAAAATCAATAAAATATATGTTTTTTAAAAATGGAACCCTTAGCTCAGAGTCAAATATGGAACAAGAAAGTTTCACTTCTGTTTACTAGTCAAGCAACTAAGTGGAAGAACAAGCATTTTTAATTTGTGTTATATAAAATGCTAACTTCTTTTTGGGACATACTACAAACTATGCATTAGATAAAATTTTTTGACAAACTTCCTATAATATTTTTATTAATTTACACTGAGAGAATATAGCACTCTTCATCCAAAGAACTGAAGGTGCTTTACAAACATTAGCAGTTAAAAAACAATTACATTTAAAAATCTGGATTCTTGCTGTTAAATCTCAACTCCAGGTACACACTTTTCTGGAGGCTGATGAAAAGCAATTCTACTTCTCACAATAAAAGAGGCTCAGAAAGAGTTCAGATTTGCTTTTACAATACAGGCATTTTTCAAAACCTGCTGGGCTTACAAAGCAAAAACACACAAATCTTAATGCAATGAACAATATTTCAAACCTTATTTCAAAAGCAAAACCCAGGATTTAAGACGTCAAGATCTTCCAAAAGTTCTAGACATCCAGCTGGAGTAGGAGCTGATGCAGGTTGCATATTAGATATGCTATTGACCCAGGCTTTTTAGGATCACACCCAAATTCACACATTTAAAGTGGTGAGATATTTCAGGAAAAAGCATTAACCTATAAAAAGCTAGCCAAGAGTATATCAGGGAGTAAGGACAGGGAGTGATTGGTAACTAAAAGCAGACAGTTCTCACTAGAGTCTAGGACAATTTATTAGAAACCAAGTATATCATAGGCAAATAAAAATAGTGATTATCCCCAATAATACAATATAAGGGATTTTACATTCAGCCTAGATACAGGGAGTAACAGATCTGCTTACAAACCTATGGCCTGCAAGTATCTTCCGTCATATGATTACTGTATATAGTACCTAGCCCTTATTTCGTAGAGGAATCCAAATATTCCTTTTAGGCTTACAAAACTCAATACATTCACTCTCTCTTCCCTTTACAGGTCTAATAGTAAAAGCTTTTTTTTTGTTCCATGCAAAAAGCTGTAATTCGGTTGAAGAGGGGAAAAAATCAGGCAGAACAGAGATGGCAGTTAAGGAATGGACAGAACATTATTGGCACATGCCCAACTAGTGACAGACAAATGCAGTACGCAACGACTTAAAAATGTCACATTACAGGGATAACTAAAACTACATCAATCTAAGCTAGGGAGTATCAAACGGGAGGGAGGGCTCAGGGTTACTGGTTTAACTGGTACAATTTAAAAGCAGAGGAGAGCAAGCGCGTAAATACAATTCATGGTAACAGGAGCCCTTGCAGGTGTGGGTCAGCATTGGAATGTTGGCCCACGCACCACAAGGGTCGCAAGTTCAATTCCTGGTCAAGGGCACATACCTGGGTTGCAGGTATGTTCCCCACATGTGGGATGTGGGAGACAACCAACCAATGTTTCTCTCCCCCTCCCTCCCGTTTCTCTCTCTCTCATAAATGTTTTTTTCTCTCTCTTCCTTCCTCCTTTCCACTCTCTTTAAAAAATAAAAAATAAAATCAATGGAAGAAATATTCTCAAGTGAGGATTAACAAAAACAAACGAACAACTTATGGTAAAAGGAAAAAAAAATACTGCAGAGAGCTGTTTAAAGACCACATCAAGTTGTCTGCATCATTAATTTCCAGTGTTTAACAATTAGTAAAATACATAGCTACATATCCCTGTAAGATTAATAACTTTCCCCCTGAATTACACTGAGGTCAGGGCAATGACACAAAGATACTGACCCCACAGTTCAAGTGTGTGCAGCAAATGTCTTAGTCACTTCTTTCATATAGCTTTACAATTAAAAACTACACAAGTAGCTGGGTGGTTGTGGGAAAAAATCAAAACAGTGTTGTGCTCATTTAATAAAAGAAAACCCTGATGAAAAATTATGTGCCAAGAAGCGTAGACTATAAAGATTTTTATTGCATTTTTAGGTAACCTGGAAGTTCTTATCCTGAAGGGGAAAAGTTGATTTTCAAAACTACCTGAACAGATGCTAAAGTGCTTTATTAATTGGCTGGCTTCACAAAGATTTCCTGGAATGACAAAAATTAATTATAGCAGTAAAAGATACCAACTATTTCACAAAATGGTAAATTCCAACATCATTTATGACCACAGTCATAAGAGACACTGGAACACTTGTCCTTATTAAGTGGACGTTGCATATCAAGGACTGATAACCACAATCCTTTGGATATTCAAATTACTTACACAAAGCCGAAACATGGTATCACAGACCTTTACAAAAAAGGACAATTTGTTTCTTTCCACACTTTTAAAACCTGCTTCAGATTACAGTTCACAAATATAAGTCCTGACTTTTCAACCTTTCCAGTTGCATTTTTTTTTAAAAAAAAAGAACACTTTCTAAAAGTTAAGGTCAAGTGTTACAGCAAGAAAATGATTCCTATTGAAAAGTACATAGATATTACTTCATAATACTCATGATAGATTGTAAACTGGATTGATCACATTTTACTCAAGTGGTATCAAATGAACATATCAGCATTACAAGTATTAAATGTTTTTCTATTACTATAGAGGATATAAACCAAAACATTAATTAATATGGCAGTTATGTTCTTAGGCACAGTTTAGTGATTTTTTTTCTTAAATAAATAGTACTGAATTTCAGTTTAAGTTTTAAACTCAATAGCCAAAGGGTCAAGAACTCTGACTAGGAAAAAAAAAAAAAAAGAGTAACTTTAAGCTAACAATGTAAGTTGTTTAAAATTTCTAACACTTTTAACCTATCTGGGTTTTATTTAAGATTACTTTATTTAAAAATACAAGGAATCTGAAAAAAGATCAATACAATTATCTTAATGTACAAAATCATAAGCTGTAGCAGTTTTTAACTCAAATTTAAAAACACAACGAGGGCAGCCCTTTAGACCAATTTATTTTATATCCACTTAAAATATCCAACAAAGGACAATGAAGTTTACAGCTGGGACGAGTATACATAACTCGAGGCATTTGCAGTCCATCGTGCCCACTGGATAACAACTTTGCTGCTGAAATTTCTTAAAACTTACCAAACTAAAACAAAAGGCTGAATGATACAAAAGGAGTATTTCAGTGTAGTCTGTTCTGTCAATTGGCTTTTTTAAAAAGGAAACACATCTTGTTTCCCCCAGACCAGTAAATAAGCAAGAGCTACATGCAGCAGTATGAGTATTAAGACATTTCTCAAGTCTTCTCAGATGAGTCCAAGGTGGGGATGGGATGGGGGAGAAAACTGATAGGAAAACATTGTTATAGACACCATAACAAACAATAAATTTAGATAATTTAAAATAAAAAAAGGCAAGAGGCAGCATTTCAGCAGCAAAGTGCTCAATAAAAAGTATATTATAGAGGGTAATACACGAAAGTTGGGGTAAGAAGAGGGCAGAAAATGTGACCGGTCAGCAGGATGGGCGCAGGCCTCAAAGGAAATATGGCGTCGTCGTTCTGGGAGGAATAACACGTTCTGAATCTGGAACTGCCCGAAATAACTTTGGTTCTCTTGTATTTACATCTTTGAAGACCATTATTGAAGCAATATTTCCACAACGATAGCAGTAATTAGGTGCAGACCATACTGTTACCAACTTCTCATCAAACATAAACTTATAGCCTTCGTGCACTAGTTGGTGTGCTCTGCAGATGAGTTTTAAGTTGTTGATATGAACAAACTGCAATTTAGAAAGGATTGGTTAAGTATCCAGCATATTCTTTTTAAAAATACCAGCCTATATATAATAAACATTTAAATAAAGCATAAATCCTGTTACTAAGTATGGTTCTCATGACTATAAAACTAACTCTACAGTTACCCCCAATAATTTCAATGAGTTATAGGCCAAAGAGTCACTTTGGCCTGAGACTATTAAAGAGCTTAGAAATCATCAGTCACGTAACTAGAAGTTTCTGGAAGAAAAGCATCCTACAAGTACTATCGGATATGAAACAAAATTCTTATGGTTTAACAATAAACATATTGTTACCATATCTATAGTTTACTGAGTGTTTAGTATAGTTCTTGCAAAAATTCTGAGATTTACTACCCTTTTTCAGTGTAATGAAACAGATATTCAGACAGGATAAATAACTTCAACCTAGCTCTCTGATTCCACATTCGATTACTTCCCAATATAAAGTGTGTGTGTGTGTGTGTAAATAGTTAGACCTCAAAAAGTTGCCTATTCACAATATGTACATATAGCAAGTCATTATGTTGTATATCTAAAACTAATACAATGTTAAATATCGATTGTATCTCAACTAAAAACATAAATATGGAAAAAAATATTTAAGTTGCCTTTCTTGCCCTTGTTTAATCTCATTACTTAACTGCAATATTTGGAAGAAAAGGAACATTTATTTTATATATATTACCAAGTAGATGCTGAAGGAGGTGCTTTTATGATTCATCTCATTAATTGCTAAGGAGATATATATTACATGATAAACTAGATGAGGAATTTTATACCCTTAACCACCATAGTTTGACCACTAGACTATAAGTTTATCATCTACAGCCACCATAGTTCTTTGTATAGTTCATTAGCAACCAACAAACCACTTTTCCGAAAATGTTGACTTTACCTCATTTGTGACCTTTGCGCCAAAAAGCCAACCTGCTCCTCGGGGACTGATAGCCCAAGTATCCACATCTTCAGGATCTGACCAAACCAGGTCACAAAATGCTCCTTTATGAGGAATTTCCTGATTCCGTTCAATGGTTCGAATTTGATCCAGTGTTTTGATATCAGGAGATAAACCACCATGAACACACAAAATCTGCTCATCTATTAACTAACAAAAAGGATAACAAAGAGTTGAACATATAATAATAAATTCAGTTATATCCAAATTCTCCAATGAATCATAATAATATCAATATAACTAAGATGGCAATTAGATAAAAATATGCAAAGTGTTATTGGCAAGAAATATGTTGTGGCTTTAGAAAGATTCATATAAACTTACAGCTGCTACTGTGAGCATGTCAAAAACTTTGGTACAGTATCTCCAGGCATTAGCATTTCCATATTTGGTTTGGCACTCATCTACAAAAGAAACAGGAGCGTTCTCAGTAATGAAATTCTGAATCTCCCAATAAAAATAAAGAATATAGCCCTGGCCAGGTAGCTCCATTGGTCAGAGCATCCTCCCAACATGCCAAGATTAGGGGTTTGATCCCGACAGGACACATACAAGAATTAATCATTCATTGCACGAATAAGTGGAACAACAAATCAATATTTTTCTCTTTCTCCCTTCCTCCCTCTCTCTAAATTAATTTTTTTTTAAAAATAGTCCATCCAGTGTGACTTGGTGGTTGAACATTGACCCACGAACCAGAGCACATGACTGTGTTGCGGGCTCGATCCCTGGTGGGGGGCTTGCAGGAAGCAGATCAATGATTCTCATCACTGATGTTTCTCTCTCTCTCTCTCCCTTTCCCTTCCTCTCTGAAATAAATACAAATATATTTTAAAATGATAATAATAAAATAAAAATGTTAATAAAGAATACATCAAGCCGAAGCCGGTTTGGCTCCGTGGTAGAGCATCGGTCTGTGGACTGGGGGGGGTCCCAAGTTCAATTTCGGTCAAGGGCATGTACTACCTTGGTTGCGACGTTTCTAGCTCTCTATCTCTCTCCCTTCCTCTCTGTAAAAAATCAATAAAATATATATTTTTTAAAATGTTTAAAAAAAAAAAAAGAATACATCAAATACTAGGACAACAGGAATTCAGCTTAAACCAGTAAGATAGTCCTGCTTATCTTTTTTTTTTTTTTTTTACATTTTTTATTAATTATCTGTGTACATATTTTAACATTGCCCCTTGCTTATCTTTATAATGATAGAAAATAATTCAAAATATAAAAATCTGAAACTAAAGGGTTATAAATTTATTTTCTAATCGCTCAATATCTACCTTTTGCTCAAGGAAAAATTCATATTAATAAGCTCAACAATTCTTCTGTCTACCCTCTTCAAAAGAACTTCTTAACCATGTTTATTAAAACGTTCAACCATATAAAAGTTTTATAAAAGCAGATGATTTTAGAAAGAAAAGAAGGGAGAGGAAGAAAGAGAAACACTGATTTGAGAGAAAGATTGATGGGCTGCCTCCTGCACATTCCCAGGCATGTGTCCTGACTAGGAATCAAAACACAGACCTTTTGGTGCACGGGCCTATTCTCAACAAACTGAGCCACCCGGGCCAATGCAGCAGCTATTTTAATATATGAGTTCTATTTGATATTGTTTTTCTGAGTTCTATTTCTAATCTCTGATGTCCTGAGATTCTCTGGAACAAGCACACATTTTTAATATATGTGTAAAAGGATATTTATATATCCTTGGGATATCATATGTATATGATATAAAAGGATATTCATTCAGATATGTGTATACCAGCAACTTAAAAATAACTCCAGCCGAAACCAGTTTGGCTCAATGGATAGAGCGTCGGCTTGGGGACTGAAGGGACCCGGGTTCGATTCCGGTCAAGGGCATGTACCTTGGTTGCGGGCATATCCCCGGTAGGGGGTGTGCAAGAGGCAGCTGATCGATGACTCTCTCTCATCGATGTTTCTAACTCTCTATCTCTCTCCCTTCCTCTCTGTTCAAAATCAATAAAATATATTTAAAATAAATAAATAAAAAATAACTCCGATATCCAATGTTAAAAGGACTGGTTAAATCAATTACAGGATATCCATATAGTATAATATAAGCAGCCATAAAAAATAACATTAATGAAGTAAAAAGGCAGGTCACAATATTAAATGATCCCATTTTAGTATGATCCCATTTTAGTGTGGTGTGTATGCACACACATATATTATACAACAAACACACACAAATATGTAGAAATAGATATAGAATAAATTATCACACTTGAATGAGCAGGACATTCACCTTTACAACTTCAAGGGTCCCGTCCCAAAAGTTCTGCATGGGGGCCCAGCCATCTGCATTTCTAACAAGCACCCCAGATGATTCCAATAAGGTAAACTAAGAACAGTGCTTTGAGGCACTGATCTAGAAAGATGCACAACAAAAATTTAAGAATGGTTCTCTCTCTATGGTAAGATTTCCCATTGATTAGGAGAAGAGAGAAAGTTAAAGGATGAGAAAGTGGAAAAAGATTATCTGTATTTTCCAAATTTACTATAAAACACATGTATGACTTCTGTGTTTTCTCCCCAAAGAGGAATGTAATGTTCAGAATCCGAGAAACAGAAGGTCTTACCATAAAATCCATAAACCTGTGTTATCTGTCTACTCTCATGATTTCCTCGCAAAAGTGTAATACGATCAGGCCATTTAGCCTTTAGTGCAAGAAGATAAGTGAAGGTCTCCAAACTATAGTAACCTCTGTCTACAAAATCACCCTGTAAAGCAAAAGATTACAGTTACAAACAATACAATGGCAACAATATATTTTAAAAATTATACCAAAGTGCACATAAATCAGAGACACAGTCCAAAATAACAAAAATGAAGAGTTATACATTGAATTATTTGGAAATTTGAGTTTTAACAAAAATTCCAATGGAAGTAAATAGGCTGTTTTTACTAGTATTTGTGTTAGTCCACGATTCAGGAGGCCTACAGATACTTGCAGTACAATTCTTCAATGATTTCCCCCTGCAAAACTGCCAATTTTCAATTCTCTATTACCCACAGTATCATGTTTCAAAAAGATGATGTGTAAATCAAAAATTTTTAATAAATTTCAAAAATATTTTAACTGAATCAGAAAAGCTACTAACCTACTAACTTGAATAAAATATTTTGTTTTCTTTTGAAAAAGCAAACACCATAATTACCACAGTGTTCCATGTTCAGCTTTGTGTTTAACAATGGCATGTGATGACATGCTATTTACACTTCCCATTAATGTTTTACTTGAGCCTATATTAGACCAATAAGAAAACAGCTAAAAGAATAATAGGAAAGTATCCAGAAACTTACAGAAGGAAGACACAGAAAAAATAAAATAGTAACATTACATTCTGAAAGAAAAGCAAGCAAATATGCATCTTCATAGCAAATGTGTCTGTGTGCATATTCCTCAATTCATAGATTAATAACATAAAAATGAATACTCCAAAAAGTTTGGTAAATTAACAATAAATTAAAGATTTATGCTATAAACCAGTGGTTCTAGGATTATTATTATTCCCAACCATTACTGAGGGCTCCAACCCATTCTTAGGTATTCAGCAATTTACTAAATCAATTATTCTCAACTAGAGAACTCAGAAAAATGTAAAAAGATACAGAATCACCTTTTTAGATATTTAAATAGTGATTATCACATGGCAATACAATTATTATGTAATTTACATGTAATAAGACAGATCTTTTCCTTTTTAAATAAGTACTTGATCTTTTTAAATGAGTATTTGATGTGACTGGTTTTTACATACCATAAATATGTAGTTTGTGTCAGGAACCTGACCTCCAGTTCTGAATAGTTCACAAAGGTCATAAAACTATAAAAGAAAGGCAATATTTGTTGATTACAAATTCCTATAAAGGAGAAAATAATAAAACTGAGAGCAAAATGTGTAAAGAAGCAGTTAATTATGAAGACTTCAAATACTGACAATAAAAAGAAAACAGTATAAGCAAAGTTGCCAAGCACACAGCTCCCAAACCTTAAAAAAGAAAGCATTGAAATAAAGCTCAGTTACCATTAAAGTCATTCATATATCATTAATGTTATAGGCCTTCCTCTTGAGTTTCTTTCATGTATCTATCTGCTCACCTATTACTTGAGAATTTGAAATTATTTATCAGTTACATAACTTCCAATAAGCTCATCTAACCATCCCATCACATATTTAACATCTATTTCAATGAGAGAAAGATAAGTAAACAAGTTGGATAAAACTTTATTTCAAAGAATAAACTTACACAATACAGAACAGGTCAACCTACCTTCCTACAGTTTACTGTTGATGTGTACCCTCAACCCCCACAAATGTAGAATGTCCTCTCAATAATGAGTAAAAAGGAACTTCATATTTCACGTAATTCTATTTGACTAAAAGTTGGTAAAGGACAAACTACACATGTGGTAACTTCAGTCTACTAGATAACTCTAATTCTTAAAGAAACTTCAGTTTTTCTGTAATCAACTATACCTACCACAACTAATAATTTCCAACATATTTATTTTTTAGACTTGAAAATAAAATCACTAATAAATATCAAATTTTTAAAACTGTACAAGAATCTTAGTAACAGTGAACAAAACTGACATTTAAATGTTAACTACTGAAATAAAGCATTTCCCCCTCCTTGTAACTGTTTAAAAGTCTTAAGCAGAGAATTTTAACCTTAAGGAGGTAGCCAATCAATGATTCTCCCTCATTACTGTTGTTTCTGTTTCTCTCTCTCTCTGTCTCTGTCTCTCTCTTTCTCTCTCTCTCTCCCATTCCTTTCTAAAATCAATAAAAATATTTTTTGTTTTGTTTTTCCATGAGATATATTTTGTTTCTTAGTTTTGTCACTTTTTCATTTTTATTTTTTAATTAAATCTTCATTGTTCAGATTATTACAATTGTTCTTCCTTCCCTGCCCCCCCCCCATAGCTTCTTCCACCCGGTTCCTACCCCACCCTCTGCCCTTACCCTCTCCCCCACTCCACCCCACCCCTGTCTTCATCCATAGATGTATGATTTTTGTCCAGTCTCTTCCAGCATCCCCCACAACTCTTTCCCCCCAAGGATTGTCAGTTCACTCCCTTTCTATGGCCCTGATTCTATTATCCTAAATAATAAAAGAGTAATATGCAGATTGACCATCACTCCAACACATAAGATCAAGATAGCTGTCCCCATGTAGTCAAAGATCCTGCCCCCATGTGGAGATAAGATGGCCACCACAAGGTGGTGAGCAGGGGAGGGCAATTGGGAGGCACCAGGTCTGCAAGGGAGGGCAGTTGTGGGTGATCAGGCAACAGGGGAAGGCAAGTTGGGAGACACTAGGCCTACAAGAAAGGAGAGTTGAGAAGGACCAGGTCTGCAAGGGAGGGCAGTTGGAGGCTATCAATCCTTCAGGGGAGGGAAGTTAGGGGTGACCAGGCCAGCAGAGGAGGGAAGTTGGGGGAAAACAGGCTGGCAGGGGAGCAGTTAGACATCAATCAGGCTGGCATGGGAGTGGTTAGGGGGTGATCAGGCTGGCAGGCAGAAACAGTTAGGAGCAATCAGGAAGGCAGGTGAGCAGTTGGGAGCCAGCAGTCCTGGATTGTGAGAGGGATGTCTGACTTCCTGTTTTTTGTGTGTGTGTTTTGTTTTTGTTTTTTCAAAGAGGGATAGAAACATCAATGATGAGAGAAAATCATTGATCAGCTGCCTCCTACATGCCCCCTACTGGGGATCAAGCCTGCAACCTGGGCATGTGCCCATGACTGGAACTGAACCTGGGACTCTTCAGTCTACCGGTTGACACTCTATCCACTGAGCCAAATGGGTTCACGCTAGGGCTGATGTGGCTTTTTAAACAGGCAGTGCATTGCCCAGTCAGGATTTAAAACAAGCTCTGTCTGATACTGAAGTCTACCATCTCCAGAGTAGATTACACTGCTTCAATGCTTCTCAGCAGTATAGTTGTCATTCGTATCTGCAGATTTCCAGACTCTTACTGTGAACTCATCCCCATTCATCCAAAATATCGAAATATTTGGGACCAGGGGCGGGTGAACAGAGAATGTTATGTTTCTGTTGACATGTACCATGTATGAGGCCTACAATGATTAAAGGCCTGAACAAGTGAAGACTTTTTTTTTTTTTTTGGTCATTATTCCTTACACAATTATTTACATAACATTTATACTGTATTAGGTATTGTAAGTAATCTAGATTTAAAGTATATGTGGGGATATGCATAAGTTATATGCAAATACTATGCCATTTTTGTATAAGGGACTTTAGCATCCCAGGATTTTGGTATTTGTGGGAGGTCCCGGAGCCAATCTCCTGAGGACACTGAGGGACAGCTGTATACGCTGGCCAGCATGTTTGTTTATATTTATAACCCAATCCTGCAATTCCAGAACTGGCCCATGGGAAAGACAACTATACAAGTCCCAAAGGACATATCTTACATTTAGTTTACTAAATCAGCAGAGGGTTAGAAGCTCTATAAACCCCATGTTTTTGATTAGCAATTGTTTTAAAGGGTCAAGTACAAATGAAACAATGTTCATAGTTTGGTGGTAGACTTAAATTAATATGTACTACTGGGCATCCAAATGAATTTCAAATCTCTGCTCTGTTCCTTAACAGCTGTGAGAGTTTGGGCTAATTCTTCAATCTTTTTGTCTCAGTTTCCTTCTCTACAAAATGACTCAATTGTATAGAACTCTTGAGAAAATTTTACATGGAATATGCTAAAAAGCACTTTATTTTTTAAAATATATTTTATTGATTTTTTACAGTGAGGAAAAGAGAGGGATAGAGAGCTAGAAACATCGATGAGAGAGAATCATCGATCAGCTGCCTCTTGCACACCCCCTACTGAGGATGTGCCCGTAACCAAGGTACATGCCCTTGACCGGAATCAAACCTGGGACCCTTGAGTCCACAAGACGATGCTCTATCCACTGAGCTAAACCAGTTTCGGCTAAGAAGCACTTTATTAACCTCAAAACACAAGATAAATGTTAGCAAATACTGGACATTTCATTGAAGTAATACAGAAGTACAATTTTATGATTTCAATTAATTTTCATAATCTGAAGTTGTCTCTAAGTTCCTGACCTTTGATCATGACTGTAATTCACATATTGAAAAGTTCTTGATAACCCCTCAATTTAATTTTTGTAATATATTTTTATTGATTTCAGAGAGGAAGAGAAAGAAATATCAATGAAAGAGAATCATTCAGTGTGGGGCTGCCTTCTGCACACCCCACACTGAGGATTCAAGCCCGCAACTTGGGCATGTGTCCTGACAAGGAATCAAACTGTGACCTCCTAGTTCATAAATCGACCACTGAGCCATGTTAGCTGGGCAACCCTTTAACTTTTTTTTTTTTAATCAATTCATATTAGTTCACTAAGTTTCTTTATTTTTATTTATTATTATTGCTGTTAATCTTCATCCAAGGATATTTTTCCATTGATTTTTAGAGAGTGGAAAGGAGGAGGAGGGACAAAAAGAGAAACACTGATGTGAGAGAGACACATTGATTGGTTGCCTCCTGCACGCCCTAGACTGGGCCAGGTATGTGCACTTGACCAGAATTAAACGTGGGACCCTTCTTCAGTCTGTGGGCCAATGCTCTATCCACTGAGCCAAGCCGGCTAAGGCAACTTTAATGTTATAATCAGAGGAAAATGTTGCTTGGTTTATTCCAGCTTTTATGAACCTGTTTAGCCCTAGCCAGTTTGGCTCAGTGGATAGAGCGTCAACTTGAGGACTGAAAGGTTCCGGGTTCGATTCCTGTCAAGGGCACATGCTGCATGAGGCTGCCAATCAATGATTCTCTCTATCATTGATATTTCTATCTTTCTCTCCCTCTCCCTTCCACTCTGAAATCAATAAAAATATATTTTTAAAAGAAACTGCTTATATTAATATCCTTTATGTTATGTAAAATGTAAATGTTTATTATAGTTTTGGAGAGAAGTTACATGGAAATATTCAGAAATTCACTCCAAGCCCTAACCAGTTTGGCTCAGTGGATAGAGCACCGGCCTGCGGACTCAAGGGTCCCAGGTTCGATTCCAGTCAAAGGCATGTACCTTGGTTGCGGGCACATTCCCAGTGGGGGGTGTGCAGGAGGCAGCTGATTGATGTTTCTCTCTCATCAATGTTTCTAACTCTCTCTCCCTCTCTTTTCTCTCTTTAAAAAATCAATAATTTAAAAAAAAAAAAGAAAAGAAAATTCACTCCTAAAATCTACTAACAGATCACAAGTGACATAATGGAGTACTTATTTAGAAGCTGAGAATATGCAGATGTCAGATTTATTATAATCTCAACCGTAGGAGAACATACTGAAAAGCCAAAATGAAGAACCCTCTAAGTAGTTGAAGTAAGTTTTTACTCATTCAGCAGCCAGTCCCTTCTGCTCCTTTAAGTAGTCATATGTAAAAGAGGAAATTATCAGAAGACAGTAAGTCCTGTTAGCATTCATAAATACTATATTGTTCACTTGTAGCCCAAATTCCATTGTATGCATACAGCAAGACATGAGTATTCAGTTCATCTTTCATTTCCCTATTTAAAATAACTTTATAAACACACAGGTTTCCAACTAGACTAAACACTGACATTAAGAATCTAAAGATGACATGTGCCCTTCCTGCACTGAAACTCTTAAATAAAACCCAGCAGAGGAAAAAATAAATTCTAAGCAGTAGCTTGCTGGGAAATCACACACCAGCAATTTTCTTTTTGAACCTTTGCTATTCTCATTCCCACCAAGGAAATTCGCATCTCCTATTAACCATAATAACATTTGTGTTTTATATATCCCTTTTTCCACAGAACAATAGTACTGCATTTTATTTACTTCGCAAGCATAATTTCAACAAACTCCATGAATAATTTGACCACTGCTTTTTTCACTTAGTTAACAGTCATACAGACTGAAGTAACCTAGCCAACTACTAGCTGTTGTTTTTTATTTGTTTTTGTTTGTTGTTTGCAGCACAATGGAAATACACATGTACTATGGACAATACAAAGCTAAAAATCTGCTTATGAAATTTTACCTGTCCGTGTATGTCTCCACACACTGTTACTGGTGTTGATACTGGCTGAACATTTGATTCTTCCAAGAGGAGGTCACAGACATAGTCACATAGCCGCTAGAAGGAGAAAAGATAAAATGCAACCTTTTACTACAATATTAAAACTAAGGATCACATGACAAAAAGACAAGTACTAATACTTAAATTGTTTGATAGCAAAGGAAACTGTCTTTGATGATTCTGGGAATGTTTACAGTAGTTAGCTCCCAAAGTTTACAACTCTAACTCACTTCCAAAGAACAAATATGCCATGTTTGGCCTGTGTTGTTTTCAATAGTCTTTCTTTACCACCTTCTTTCTCATCTTGCCAGAATAAAGAGCACTGCTCTTTTCAGGTTAGCTTCACAGAGTAGCAATTAATATTTAAAACAATTTTTTCTGCTACTGTATAATTTCAAAAATAAAATATAGTGATGTTTTAAAATACCTATTTCAAGATCTTACCCACCTTTTTAAAAATTATTTTTTTCAGAGAGGAAGGGAGACGGACAACGAGATAGAAACATCAATGATGAGAGAGAGAATCACTGACTGGCTCCCTCCTGCATGCCCCTTACTGTGGATCAAGCTCATAACCTGGGCATGTGTCCTTGACTGGAATCGAATTCAGGGCCCTTTAGTCCACAGGTGGGCGCTCTATCCAATGAGCCAAAGCAGGTAGGGCTTACCCACCTTTCTTAGGTATAAATATTTGGAATATTTTTTCAGGTACACTCACCAAACCTCCTCAAAGAAAATCCTACCAGAAGTAATTGTAGAGCCCTAGCTGGTTTAGCTCAGTGGATAGGTCATCAGTCTGAGGACTAAGGCGTCCCAGGTTTGATTCCGGTCAAGGGCACATGTCCGGTTTGTGGGCTCGATCTCCAGAGTGGGGCATGCAGGAGGCAGCCGATTCATGATTCTCTTTCATAGATGTTTCCATTTCTCTCTCCCTCTCCCTTCCTCTATGAAATCAATAAAAATCTATTTTTTAAAGTATTTGTAGAAGTGCTTTGCTGTCATTTGTACAAGAGAGGACAGAGTTTTATTTGTTGCCATGAGACCTGCATGTTGTCAGGCACTTGTCCTATCCACACTCTCTTTCAAATTTGACATCATTTAAAAAGAGTCCTAATGTCCATCAATGGAGGTGAGAGCCCATACCGTGAATACAATTTAAATCTTTCCCTCAAGCACATCCTCTGACACAAGCTGCACAAGAAGCTCATCTCCTACTCTTCTTTCCAGAATGCATCTCTGGGAAAGAAACGTTCTGTTTCCTGAAATGTTGATCTTTCTATTTCTTACTCTCAGGTACTGTTGTAAATTTGAGGGTCCCACTGTTTATACACCTTTAAAGATCAATTTTTAAAATGTTACCCAAGAAAATCTATTATAAATTCCACCCTGAATTAAGTCAAATTGTCCTCTAAAGAGGCCTGTCCTCACCCTGCATTATACTGCCCTCCTTTCCCAAGTTGCACTTTACAATCATGACATCAACCTATAGTGTGGGACACTGTAGAAACAGTCCCCTATAGAGCCTGTCACTGTGCAGACTATAAATGAGGCACACAGGATGCTGTGATTAAACAGTTGCCTTCAAGGAAGACCCAAGGAAGGAATAGCTCTATCAAGGATAAATGTGATTCCCTAAGAAGTTTGTTTTTATCATCTTATAGACTCTGAATTTTTTAATTGACCAGTTCCTACCTTTCGTTCACTCCCAGAAAACTCAGGGTCTAATCTCAAAGAAGTAACCTGATCATCACAGCTTTTATTTTACATATATTCTTACTTCTCGCTTCATCTTGATTTCCTAACTTTATTTTTTCTTTGTCTCATTTTTCTTACTTATTCTGAATATTTATCTTGCTATACTGAATGCAATTTTGTTAACCACTCTGTATTCTTTGGGAACAAAGTGAATCATCATTTAATTAACACTTTTAAACTAATCACAGCTGAAAAGCAAGAACCTACAACCAAGATTACTCTACCCAGCAAAGTTATCATTCAGAATTGAAGGTCAGATAAAGAGCTTCACAAATAAGAAAAAGCTAAAGAAGTTCATCACCACCAAACCAGTATTATATGAAATGAAAGGTATTCTTTAAGAAGAGGAAGAAGAAGAAGAAAAAAAGTAAAGATAAAAATTATGAACAACAAATACATATCTATCAACAAGTGAATCTAAAAATCAAGTGAACTGAAAATCTGAGGAACAAAATAAATTGGTGAATAGAATAGAATCAGGGACATAGAAAGGGAGTGGAATGATAATTCTCAGGGGGAAAAGGGTGTGGGATGCGGGAAGAGACTGGAACAAAAATCGTACACCTATGGATAAGGACAGTGGGAACCGGGTGGAGAGGAGCTATGGGAGGAAAAAGGAGAAACAATTATAATAATCTGAACAATAAAGATTTATTAAATTAAAAAAAAACTAATCACAGCACAGATTCATGAGGGAATCTCATGGTTACCATATCTGAATGTGCCTGAATTTTCACCAACATATGACTGGCTCTCCTAGCCCATGAGGCCTCCAGAACTGAAGGAGACTGACCCATACTCCAGTACTGATCTCAAAGTAACAGCAGACTGTAAAGAACATCACTGTGAAACCCTGCCAATCTCAAAGGCCTGGAGAAAGTAAATTACTCAGGCAGCATCTGTAACCTGAAGGCAGGAACACTAACTTGAGTAAAGTAAAAGCTGCCTCCTATAACTGCCATGTCTACAGTCCCAACTGAGGATTTAGTGTCTCTAAGCCAAATCCCTTACCTCTCATCTCTCCAGTTGAGCAGTAGCTTACAAATTCCTATCAAGCAAACACAAAAATAGGACGTCTGAAATCTCAGTACAAATGTTACATATGTCAGCCAACTATACCAGAACAGACAGTGACCCCCTAGAATTCAGCCTTGCCACGGGAGAAGCTCCTCCAAAGCCCTTCACATCTTTGTCTTGCTGCTTGGTTTGTAGGAAGTGTAGTTATACTTACTGCTCCAAATCAGGCACTAGGGCAAGATTCTTAATCTTATCCCAAATTTAAACTACACCCACCTCTCCGCATGGTGCCCAATTAATTCCTAATCCTTGAACAAGTAGGGGTTCATGGCCCCCATTTTTAGGAGACTCTCTTTCCCTTGTCTACCTTTTCCTCAAGATACTTGTTCGTGGTTCCATTCTATTTTCTGCTCCCATCTCCCTGTTATCTCTAGTCCCTCAGATACACTGGGCTTAAATTCTCCACCATAGCATTACTACTGATAATTCTTTATTGTGGAGGGCTTCTGTGAATTATAGGATGTTCCTCTCCCTCATCACCTAGACTTATTCTATCAACAGATCCTATTATACTTCAAGTTCTCCTGTCATTTGGTCTATGAGATTCCTATCCCATTCCACAAAGTTCACAGTGTTGCCATATTTCTAAAACCTACTGTCACTTCCTTTAAAATCTCTCAAGGGCATTCCTCTGTTTAAGGAGGTGTTTTCAATAATCCATTCAAGTACCATCATCAAGATTTTGTCATACTTCTACTACACACAACAGTGTATTCCTATAATAGTTTTCTTTGAGTCTTTTTTTTTAGTTAGCCATATTTTAAACAATATCAAAGTCACAGAATGTTTTCCCCTAAAATATAAAAACATTTCAAAGTGTTTATCTACTTACCACTTAAAACATGAAAATCCAAATTTATCAGCCTAGTTTGCCATGATTTTGTCTTCTGCATGTCCTCCCAGCACCACTTCCAGGCATATCAACTGCCTCAGATTCCCCGAATCAAATATGTTCTTTCTTTCAGATTAAACTATGCCATGCCACATGGTATTTATCCTGCTTGCATGTTCTTTCCTTCCTATTTTGTTTACCTGAACAAACTCTGCTCGTCCTCTCATTTCTCCTTGATGGTGTCAGAATTAGACGCTGCTTCTGTTTCCTAATATTTAGACAGTCCTCTACTTTAGCACCTGTCACACCATGCGATGATCATGTATTTACCTTTCATATCTCCCTACTACACTGAGAGCCCCTCAAAGGCAGAGACAAATATAGGATTCTACCTCTAGCACCCACATGGAACAGTACTTAACAGGAAGCATGTAAAGAAATGTTTGTTGTTAAACAGTATACAGTTTGACTCAACAAGCATTAACTGATTGTTTATCACATATAAGGCAATGTTCTAATACTGTAAAGCAGTGTTTCCCAAAGTGTGGTACGCATATCCCCAAGGGTACGGGAAGAGTTTGGTGGGGGTATGCGTTGCATCGGGGTTTGGTGGGGATATGCACTGCACCGTGCTTAGCTGCACCTAATTCTACATTCTCATGAGTATGAGGGGTACTTAGCGTTACGAAAATTATAGAAGGGGTACACATATGTCAAAAGTTTGGGAAACACTGCTGTAGAGAATATAATAAACAAGATATGGCCCTGGCCCTCAATAAGCTTGTATTCTAATGGTGAAATGGACATATTTGCTATCAGACAAGTCAGAATGCTATAAGTGGTAAAATGGAGTAAAAGTGCTATAGGGAAAAGGTTAACATAGAAAAGAAAGAATGGGGATTTTTTTTTAAATATGTTTTTATTGATTTTTAGAGAGAAAGGAACGGAGAGGGATATAGATAGAAAACTTGGTGACAGAGAAATATCATCTATCGGCTGCCTCCTACTTGGGATTGAGCCTGCAACCTGGACATGCGCCCTGACCCAGAACTAAACAAGTGATTTCTTGGTTCCTGGGTCAAAGTTCAACCACTGAGCCATGCTGGCCAGGCAAGAATGGGAATTTTTATTAGCAATTAAATTCAGGAATGTCCTCTGCTGAGTAACTCAGGTAAAAATCACTTAAACCTCATCAATTCCTAGCTTTGGTACCTACTCTGCCTATTACAAGGACTGTGTAAATGACAGAATGGACATGAAGGTATTCAGAAGACTATAAGTAGCTATGTAAATTCTAATCACTACTAATAATTCTGACTATGGAATCCAGGAACCCTGTATGGAGAAAGTGGCATCTGAGCTAAAGCTCAAAAGAGGCATGGAGGGTATTGCA